CCCCCCCCCCCCCCCTGCCTCCACGATGGCGTCCCCCCGCTTAGAGGCTTCTCGGTGGGTGTGCCAGTCCTTGAGGTCGTGGTCCTTGAGGTAGTCCTCCAGGCCGTCGTCGTAAGCCTCAACGTAGAGCCACGCCACCCTACTCCACGCGCGGGTGTGGCCCAAAGGCACGCCACTCATTGTGCCCGGCAGAATCTTGAACACATGTGGGGGAGAGAGTACTCGCAGTGAAGACGAAGAACGTGCTTGATGTATCCCCAGTACCGCTCAATGGCGTTGAGCTCAGGGTGGTACTTGGGAAGGAAGATTCACACGCGTGGCCGGCCTTCTTGAAGATCTCCTCGACCTTGTTAAGCTGCTCCTTCAAAGCCCTCAGGTCGGAGAAGACCCGATACGCACAACACCGCTGCCGCGTTGCGTTCCAGCCGCCCCTCCCGCTGTAGTGGGCCCCTCGGTGGAAGAATTCTGCTGCTCCCGCCGCGCTTGCTCTAGAACCCTCTCCCTCTCCTCCCCCCCTTTTGTTGAAAGCGGTGATCTCTTGCCGTGACGCAGCGTTGTTCGCCTTGCACTTCTTGCAAATCTGGAGCAGCCCCTCCTTCCTCTCGCCACCAAGCCGCCACAACCCCATCTCCCGGAGCATTTGCTCAGCTCCTTTGTTGACGCCAAGCAGCGGCGATCCAGCCACGACCTTGGTGCCGACGGAAAACTTCTTCTTGTCGAGTGCCGTTCCGTTCTTGCGCTCCTTCTGCTTCTTCTCCACCTGCGTCTTAGGCAAGAAGATCTCCTGTCGGTGAGCAGAGTGTCACCAAGCTCGAATGTAGGGCACACCGTGTTCCCGTTGTCATCTTCGAACACCCTCAACGCTCCCTTCTCGCCACCCGGCGCCATGTTGATCTTGTGGGCCAACAACGCGTCTTCGCCGTACGCGTTGTGCCCGGTGGAGTTGTCGAAGATGAGGACATCCTGCCGGTGCGGGCCACTCGTCAGCTCGACCATGGCGATGATCGCCGGCAGTCGGGCGCACATGCGATCGCTCGTCCAGTAGCGGTCGTGTTGCTGCCCGACGGTCATGATGACAGCTGCCGTCCAAGGGTCGTTGGCTGTCTCCAACACCGCGCAATCTGCAGCAGCCGTCTTCAGCACTTCCACCGCGTCTTGAACCTCCTTCACCTCGTGACCGTGTACCCCCTCGCCCTCCTTCCTGCCGAAGTACTTTCCGGAGCGCCCCGTTTCGGCATCCTTGTCCTCCTGCATCATGCCCCACGCCTCCTTGCTGATCTGCAGCTGGCCAAGGTCGACGCCGATCACGTCCGAGATGTGTGCGGCGCGGCCCTCCCCCTTGACTTTCATGGGGGCCCCTTTCTTCGTCGACACCCATTGGTGGTCCCCATCGTCGTTCTCCTTCGCAGTGGTTTCGTCGTGGAAGTAAAGCGACAGCACCTGGTGATCAGGCAGCAGGCGGTAGTCCCCCTTGCCGTCCGTGGAGGTGAGGTCGCGCTTGTCGAACGCCACCTGCGCGGAGTCGACGGCAGGCTTGCGCTTGCAGTCATCGCACTCACACGCCACGAAGTGCGAACATCTTCCCTTGTCCCTTCGCGTCTCGCACGGACACTGCTGGAGCCGTCGAACACGCACGCAATCCCTGCCGCGAGCGTGCGCGGGGTTGTGGACGCGCACGTGCTTGTACTCCTCCTTGCCGTCGATCGTCCGCACTGCTGGCCAGAAAAGCTCCTCGCGTTTCACCTTCTTCGGTCGGTAGTACGCCTCNGTGGGGGATCAAAGCCGGAGGGGGCTAGCGTTACTGGTACTCTAGGTAGAAAAACGCACCGCAGTACCGCAGTAGGAGCGTCTGCCTCAAACCGTATACGCCTCGCAACGAAACAAATTTTCGCGTGCGTGCCTACCTCTACCAACGACTGATATGCTCCTTCCGCTTCCCACACTTCCAACCACACTCACTTGTGCACGTCTGCGATTCGGAGGCGCGGCTCGTCCTTCTTCCGCCGATACAGCTTGCGATCGATGTACTCCCTCAGGTGGTTGCGCTTGTCCTCGTCTTCGATGAAGGAGTGCGGCTCCCGCTTGTTGTACTGCCGTTTGGGGACAAAGAAGGCGCCGCCCTTGCAAAACTCCTTCACCCACCGCCGCACTGCCTTCGATTCGACCTTGGCGACTTCGGCTGCGGCTTGACTGTGGTTCATTTTCGCCCCACCTTCTTGGATTCTGTCGTACGGGCGGTACGGGCGTCATTCGTTTCGNACACTTCCAACCACACTCACTTGTGCACGTCTGCGATTCGGAGGCGCGGCTCGTCCTTCTTCCGCCGATACAGCTTGCGATCGATGTACTCCCTCAGGTGGTTGCGCTTGTCCTCGTCTTCGATGAAGGAGTGCGGCTCCCGCTTGTTGTACTGCCGTTTGGGGACAAAGAAGGCGCCGCCCTTGCAAAACTCCTTCACCCACCGCCGCACTGCCTTCGATTCGACCTTGGCGACTTCGGCTGCGGCTTGACTGTGGTTCATTTTCGCCCCACCTTCTTGGATTCTGTCGTACGGGCGGTACGGGCGTCATTCGTTTCGGGAAGTTAGTATCAGTTCAACAGTATTTTGTCCGACAACGAAATACAGCCTCGCTCCAACGAATGAGTGACCGGAAGACAGATTAAGACAGCACCACACGTTCCCCGCCCACACTTACTCGAGGTGTACGAAGTGCTTCACTGCGTGGATGACTTTGGTGGTGTGAACCAGCTGTGATCTGTCCAGCATCGTCTTGGGTCCGCCACCGCTGAATCGTAGGTGCGACTCTGCTCAGCCTGTGACGAGGAAACACACGTGCGGTTTCCAGAGAAATGCCGTCAGCAATTTTTTTTTGCGGTCTTGTCTGAACAGCGATGTCGAGGTCGAAAAAAGACACGTGGAGCTCGTGGCACACAAATGCCGCCCGAAAAAAAGAAGCTGCTGGCAACATTGGCGGTGGCGCCCCGTGGGTAGTCTCGGCCGTGTTAAGAGCAGGCGGTAAGACTGTATATGACGCAGATAAAAAGCAAGAATCAACGGTGTTTCGCCTTCCGTGATAAGCTCTGATCAGTTACTGCGCTGAAACACATGTGCAGGAAGCACAAACAACAACAGCAGCGCCGCTGCCTACAAAACGCCGCTGCCATTGTGGTTGCAACTTAACCAAAAAATACCTTACCTTCTGGAGCTTGTCGTAGGCATCGCGGTACGTTTACGTCAGCTCCGCCTTACGCCTCGTCCAGTGCTTGCGCGCTCGGCCCCTCGCCCGATCCAGCTGCATTTTCGTCCATATCTTCCGCTCCGACGCCGGCTTCTTCCTCTTGGCGACGCGATAGTTCTTGTTCATGCTGTACTGTGCCGCAACGAGATTTGATTTCTCGCAGACCTCCTTCGGCATCATACCCTTGTTCCCCCTCCCTGTCCCACCTTTGTTGTTGCGAGCCGTGTTGTCGTATGGGCGCGTGGGTGCAGTAAACACACCGTCGAAACGACGACCCTCTCGGGTGCTTCGGCGGGAGGGCCCTAGTGCGGGGGATGCTCTGGGGCTGCGGGCACTCCAGAACGACGCATACTGTCACCGACCTCACCGTTCTCCCCTGCCCCCTGCCGAACGTCTACTGCCTCTTTGTCAAGAGGTTGTTGTTGCTGTTGTTTCTCACATTAGCTCTAAAAAAAAAAAAAACGATTGGGAGCCCGTGGTCTCAAAACCCGGCATACACGACCCCACGAAGAAACAGAAAAAAATAGGGTACAAAAACCACTCGGAAGAGAAACAAAATGATAGAAAGAAAGACCAGCTACCGCACCAAACGAGAAAGAGCGTCGAGGAGACCGATCAAAATAAAATAAAAGG